TTTTTTTTATTTTTTCCCGTTCGTTTTTCTTCCCTCGTTCTCTTGGAGGGACCCTCTCCCAAGAGCTGCAGGGCTTTCAAGTGACCTGCTGAGTCCCTGGCAGGGGTAGTGAGATCATTTTCATTTGCAGAGTGCAAACCGTACAAGACTTCCCTGTGTATTGTTTCTCCCCTGTAGAATCTGAGCATGCTGCTGATCATTTGTTTGTTGATATTCTGCAGCAGCCCGACATGCAGTGTGTGCTCTAGACAGTATCCAAATGTGATTCGAGCTAAAGGACCCGTTTCCTATGAACATAGAGAGCTGGAAATTATCATTAGAACTGCAGAGAAATAACCTTTAGGGCTCATTAAAATTCTATAAACGGAAACTCTCTTCCTGTTTTCCCTTTCATGAATCTAGCCCAGCGTTGCAGACCCTCAATGTGGGGGTGGGCTGGGACCCTCCTTTCCTTTGCTCTGCTCATCAGGTTCAGGAAGAGGTTTTGCGTACAACATTTTTGCATTTTCCTGCCCCTTGGGATGTGTGTAGATCGGAGAAGGCAATGTCACTATGGAGTTCTGGTCGCCCCCAGTCCTGTCCCTGCTTCTGGCTGTCTGGAGGAGAAGTGAAATTGCTACTGCTTGGTGCAGTTCAGGGAACAAGAGAGAGAGGGTGGGGGGCCTTGTTTACTGCATGGTCTTGGCCTCTGATGAACAGTGGGAGTCAGAAGAGAAAAGGGAAGCTTTGCAGGATGCTCCAGACATCTCTCTGCCCCCATGTGATGTGTTGGGGTGTATTGTTTGTATTTGTTAATTACAGCAGCCCCTCCCGTTTCATTGCGTCTGCAGCAGTTCCCCTTGCTCCCTGCGCCCACCCCAAGGATGGAATATTCCTTCAGCTCCTGTGCCCAGCCGGGGAACCGGATCCCTTTGCCAGGAGGTGTCGCCTTGTGCAGGTTGGGCTGAGGGCAACACTTGCTTTCCCATGGAATATTAATGAATCCAATGAGGGGAATGAAACCGCTGATGACACAGAACCTTCTTATTATTAAACAGATGGGAAATTGATGTTTATGGAATTTGTGTTTTAATCATATTACTTAAACTATTTGGCAGGGAAACCCACATGAGCACAAACGCCAGAGATGCCTTTGATCTGTGGCATGTTGCCTTTGGGGTATTTTCCGTGACTGATAAAGGCTTTGCTTAGCCCTGGACAGTTTCCCTAGCTTCATAAGCAAGCGATGGAAATGATAAAACCAGAGCCAAAACCTCCCAGTTGGGCTTTTTCTGTCTCCTTGGGGACTCAGGCAAGTGCGTGAGCCTCTTACACTCTCAGCGGTGCTGAGGATTTGGTATGTTTCACCCAGTGATACATCCACACATGGTTTCATATAAACAGACACACGCATGTACGCTGCAAGACTGCAAGCTTTACAGTTATTGGAAAGACTCCGGTGCTTATACTTATGGGCTATTATCGCTGCTTATAAAGTATTTATCAGCGGTGGCATTTCCACACTCTCGCTCTCTGTGCAGATGAAATACGCCAGGATGATTACAGGTTAAAGCTCCAGTTGTTGGGGTTGTTTTGCACATTAAGTATGAAATAAACCCTTTGGTCCCTGCTTTTGCTGTTGGGTGAGATTAGAAGATTGCAGCATAGGTGTGAGTGCAGCTGTAAATATTTAGTTGAGGCATCTGCCTGCTAATGAGTTTCCAATGAGCAGAATCAGGGGCAATAATATGGTGGCTTTCAAGAGCAAACAAGTGCTGTGTGTTACTGCAGAGTCCCATTTCCACAGCCCAGCAGCTCCCATTGTCCCATCTCCTCCTGATTGTTGATCAGGCATTAAGAAAACACGTCCCTCCCTCCCTCCCTCCCAGAATAAAGAGATCTGGGGAAGTTTTAAATTCCTCTGTGTTTTTTTATTATTATTATTCTTTCTCTTCAGAAGAACACAACTAGGAAATGATTGGATCTTTGACAGAACAAAGGTATTTTTGATGGGCTCTGTAATATAGTGTGTTAATGCGTCCAGTCCCTCATTGTCTGCTGTCTGATCCCATCCTTCTGCCAGACAGTCACTGCGGGATGAGTCACTTTTAATGTCTGATAATCAAGGTGAATTTTCAAAAAGCTGCCATTTTGGAATTATGCACTATATCACCGTCTCAGGGACAAGGAGGGCAGGTGGGCCAAGGGAAGGCTAAGAGAGACATCTACTGCCCCTTTGAGGTACTGCAAACTGTAAGATGGAACGTGTCATTCCAGCAAGACATACATAATGGGAAGTAGACTGTGTTAATTACAAATTAAAAATAACTTCAGCACTAATGAAAATTGTATACACAGGAGAAAAAGTCTTAATTAAAATAGACTAGGTGCTGGAATTAGCTATCAACCCTTTGAGGGGGGGGGGAATGGATTCTGTACCTACAGAATATATTGTGGTCCATGAAATAACATGGTCCAAAGATCCACATGGAAAAAGGATTTCTCCCCCCAAGCGCTGGTCAGCAGCCACGCCTGTGGAAATGAGGTCTAGCTAAGGCACCTACCCCGAGGGAATTGGGGGGGCATGAAGAAGGAAGGATTTTGGACCCTTTGTGACCTAGTCTCTGCTGTTCACACGCTGAAATGCCTAGTAAACAAAGGCTAACTAAAGGCAATGTGTGGCCGCTCTGTCCAAGGTGGCACACTCCCGCATGAGGAGAGATGTGTAGCCAATCACCTGCAGTCACAAAGAGACGTTTCTAGTGGCTTTTCTAAGCCAGCGGCGCTGTTCTGTTATACAATAACGGAGCTGAACACGGAAGCACAGGGATGGCTTCTCTGTTTATTGTTCAGAGAGCTGGGCACCTATAAATAGTAGCAGGATGTTTTGACTAGGGTCCTGGTCTCCACTGAGCTATGCTGGGGGGATTTAAAGCTGAAGTTTCAAAGCCTTGTGCCACTGTGTGCTGAGCTTCTCTGCATGGCTCAGGGTCTAAAAGCACAGGCATTCCCCTGGCTGTGGCAGTGGTGAGTCAGCGCTGGGTACCTGGGTGAGCCTTATCTCCCCTCTTCTCTTCTGAGGAAATGCTCTCTCAAAGGGCTGCTCAGATGGATTCCTGCATCTCTCTCTAGCAAAGAGACTTCAGTCCCTGCATAGCATCCTCTGCAAAAGCCCTGCTAACAGACCACGGCACCTTGTTATTCTGTGGTGGACACCCTCCTCCTCCCCCTCTGCCAAGCCAGGACATTACAGCCAGGAGCCGGTTGCACAAAGCAAGAGTGTGTATGTGCAGGCTCCCTGTGGAGACCCCACTACAGAGTTTTAAAATGAGGATTTTGCGCACCTGGCACTTCCTCTGCTCAGGTGCCACATGGCTGATATTCTTGCTCACCTCGTTCATCTCTGCAGGCAGGTTTGCTGAAGACTCCTTTTCCCCCCCCCCCCCCGCTGGTCAGATGCTGCATTGCACCGCAAGCCTATTCCCAGCGCAGAAGCTCTCTCTTGTCTCTGAGGACTCTACTCCTCCTCCTCGTGGGAAGCTGCAATCTTTTCCCTTGGTACGAATCAAAATTGGGACAAAATCTTAAGCCCCTGGCAGCCTGGCAATCCCTGTTGCTGCTCCGGCAGCGATTAGGATGTATCTGCACTGCAGCGTTAACTCGGGTGATCGGCTCCCAGGTGGGAGCACCTAGGTCAGCCTAGCCCAGGTGTGAGCAGCCACACTGCAAACACACACTCGAGTTACTGTGTCTTCCCTGGTGCTGCACTCCCTTGTGTGTGTTGCTAGAACCTGTGGGCACATCCCATGGTTCTTTGCATTGCACTGCGCTAGGAGTCTGTCCCAGGGAGTAGTAGGAGAACTTGTCTGTCCTTCTGGGCACATACGATGAATTGTGGGATGCCATTGGAGGGCCATGAGTACTCCACTGATTTAGCCTGTATCTTCACTGCAGAGTGGGCAAGTTACCAGCCCAAGTGAAAGCCTCACTTGGGTTTTAGCCTATGCCCCTACCTGGGCCAGCTAGGCTGGGTCGAAAGCACCACCAGACTGGGATGAGAAGGGGGTGTGTGTGGACAGTAGGGGAGTTAAGGGTAAGAGCCCAAGATCACTGCAGCGTTAAGAGATGCCCTTTGGGCAGCCAGGCCTGAGCCTGCTTCACCAGTCCTCCAGAGAGATTTGGATTCACGCAGGAGTGCAGACAGCAAGCCAGTGGGTCACCACCAGCTTGTCACCATGTGCTCATCACAAGCCCATGTCTAGACTGGCACACAAACACCTTCCTACACACACACCCCTCTACTGGTCAAGTTATTGAAAAGCCCAAGGAACCACACTCACCCTCTGCCAGCTCTTCTCTTGGCACCTCTTGCCCACATACAGCAGGGTATATGGTGCAAGCCGGGGCAGGGGCCCTGAGGAGAAAGGCTGGGAAATGGCACTGGTCCCGCTTCTGAAGACACAGAACTTCCAGAGAGTTCACCAGAGTTACCCAGTAGAGTTCAAAGGACCCTTACACATGTTATCCTAGTCATTTTCTTTGTGGGAATCTCTTTTGCGACCAGATATTGAGCAGCCTGGGATGTGGGAAGTCCACCGATCAAAGGAAGCTCGTCGCTGTAAGGTGGACAGAAATCCAGTCATGTCAGCTGTCCTGAAGCTGCTGCATACTGGGCATCATCCCTACCCATGAAGGAGGGCCTGGCTTCCATTTCAGGGCTTAGTCGTGTCCAAGGAGACAGGAGGCTTTTCGTCCAGTGCTGTGTCTGTCACTGCTCAGTCTCTGGTAGGATGAGGATTTGGAAGGCAATATTAGCTTTTCTTTCCCCCATTATCTGCTCTGTAGACCTCAAGACCCTACCGTATCCGCAAAGCATACCAGACTGGTCATCTACAATTCCTTCAGCTCATAGCAGAAAGCATCTCTCCAGAGTGCAGGACTGCCATTTGGGGTGCCCTTGGCCCT